TTTTTGATGAATCTCCATACATTTCCTTATAACAGGACACCACAGAAACCAAGCTTGGGCTACCTGTGATACAACACAGACACAAATACTGTATATGACTTATCAAACGTCTAGGTTAGTTCCTTTGTGTTTCACTAAAATTTTCGAAATTAAAGTGAATTTGGCCAAGAAAATCCAACTTAAAGTTTATGCAAATGAACACAGTTTTGTATCAGATTTACAACACTCTTCACGGTCATGATTTCTGTTGTGTTTTCCTCATGAATTATTCATGAGTTTGATAAATGCTAAAACTCAGTGAATATGGAGAATATTTACCTCGCCGCTCGAAGACTCGCGTCTCGGTAAATATTATTTCCCAATATTCACTTCGCCTTCGGCGAAAAATTGATAAATATATTATCTACAAAAATTAACCCACAGCTTATAAAAAATAATGCACAGCTTATATATAAACATTGTTACAGAAAATGTATTCTTAATAAATTCATCAAAATCCTTCCTTAATCCTTTGAATTGAATAACATTGTTCAAATACAGCATAATATTTCAACTTTTTCCATTTCCTAAAATACCACTGTGTGTTCCTTGATCAAAGACTTGGCATCATTTCATCATTAATCAGAATATTCACAAATATGAACTGTAGAGTAAAGAAGGCTTATAGCATGACACCACAGAAACCAAGCTTGGGCTACCTCGGGGCTGTTAACTCTCCTGGATAAACCGGGAGTCTCCAGATTTTGGACTGTATCTCCTGGTCTCCAGATTGGAGTCTCAAATCTCCCGGATAATCGCCGAAGCTGACCATTTCTTGTGAGAGACGACTTTCACAACCATAACATTCCAATTATTTTGTGTTGTTTGTGTTATTTTACATCGCTAACAAAATCAAAACATCCCTAATAAACTGTTCTTGCAAGCAGGCCATTGTAACTATAAGCGATAATCTGATTGGTCAAAAATAAACCAATCACATCAAATGTTACAAAGTGAATGACGTCTTTTCGCACGCTCTTTTCCGCTGTGACGTCATGTCTCTTCCCTAGCAATTCTCCAGATTTGAATATCTTGGGGGTTGACAGCCCCACTACCTGTTACCACTTCGACAATGACACTGAAATAAGGCTACCCTTGAGTAAATGCGTAACCAGAGTATACCTAATTTATTTGATAGACAGTCATCTATTCCCAGTTCTGTTGTTGCGATAATGTCTCAATCAGCACTTAGCAATTGAAACAGTGGTACGATTCTGCCTGGAATTGTGATTGTATAATTCCAGAAAATACCATACCCCAATTACAGAGGAAATTAAATATTCTGGAGGGGAGAGGGGTCACAGAAAAAAACAAAATTATGAAGTTTGTTTGGAAGAAAATTGGAAGTTCTTTGGGATAGGGGGGTCCTTTTACAAATTCCCTCCCTGCTGGGGATATAGACATTTTCTGGAATTAAATATGATTTTGAAAGATGAGAATATGTGGACCACATAGCACTTATGAAATATAAGATATAGAAATATAGATAAGTTATAGTGCTTGGGAACAAGGTTATTCCGGGCGCCCTTTGAAACAAACTCGGAAAAATTAATTTCTGACCTCACTGGGAATCGAACCCACGACCTTTGGAATTGTGCTACCGATGCTCTACCAGCTGAGCAAGAGGTCAGACTGAGAGCAGGCCGGGGTGAAATAGATGTTAGGTCSCGGTAATTATGATGCAAAGATGAGAATATGTGGACCACGTAGCACTTATGAAATATAAGATATGAAAATAAGTGTGAACAAGTGAGCAAGTGTGAACAAGGATTTACAAATCAAGGCTATCCACATTGTTTCAGACTTTATATATATATATATATATATATATTTGACTTTGTATTTGTATACTAACAGAAAGCAGCGCTTCTTAATCAATAGCACAAAATCTTACAATTGCTGTTACAATGAAGTATCTTTTGGTGGATGTCAATCACAGTGTTTCATGACAATCCACAGGCATGTACCCTTGAAAGCTTTGCGTTTTCTGACAATGTCATTGAAACTCTTTGATGTCTATGAATACCTAATTCTGTAGTGATAGAAAATATTACAATTTCTCAAATGGGTTTGATAAGTAATGTAACTCATAAAGGTAAATTTGTAGTTTCTTTAAAAGTTAAGAGGAAATTTTTTTCAATAACGAGCAATAATGGCAAAAAGCGCCAAAAACTAGACTTTCDTATGAGTTTTGATCCCAATTTTTGTTTTGGGTTAACAATCAAAAACTTTTTTAAACAGTTAGAAGCTGATGTACTATGATAAAATGTGTGTTTGAAGTGGTATTTTCAATTGTACAAGGATATTTTGTTGCATTTGTGTTAGAATGTTGCTTTGTCAGGCTTTTTATAGAAAATATATGGGAAATAAGAACAAATGAAGGCCTAAACCTCATTTCCAAATAAAATTTTTGCTTTGGGTTAACACTTTGATTCCACTTTCATCGGTCATCTCCACTTCCAAACAAATTAAACTTTCTGAATAACAAGATTTTAGCCTTGTACAACAGCCTTTCTTCAAGAAAATAGTTTTTGGTGTTCACTGCTTGAATACGAAAAGAATTCTCTCTTAATATTAAATTCTATATTTTTAGTATTCTGGTATTGCTGAAACCAATTCTGACAAGATGGCAAGTGTAGGTAATGTTGGCAATGGAACGAATGAGAAGGAAGCTGTAGAACAAACAGTTGAAGGACAAGACCTAGCGGGAACTGCTAAAACAGATGTTGACGCAGAGACTCAAATAGCTGCTGTCTTAACAGAAATGCAGAATGCAAGTGAAAACATTGCTGTAGTGGAAGCAGAGAAGCCAGCAGAGAAGCCAGCAGAAAACAACCAAGGAAACTTTGAACCTAGTATTGCAGTGATAATGCAAGATGAGACGACTGGAGCTGCAGGACAACAAACCAATGGTAATCGAGAAGGACAGGTAAAGTAATAATATTATTTTATCTTTATTTAGCCAGGGTGACACATGACAGTTGGCAATTTACAGTAGCACTGATAAATTTGTAGCCTTCTATAGATGTCTAACATCTCTAAGGCTCAGGTCAAACATCGAACTTCATGAGGCAAACCTACTTGAAACAATGGATAACAAGGTGGCTTCTTTGATGTGATAAGGTTTGGCTCATGTGAAGTTCGACGTTCGACCTGAGCCTAAGTGAGATGGGATCACCATTTTTATTGGTCATCCAAGCTACTGCGAAGGTCTTACCATTTGCAGATAAGTTTGAGTGTGGATACTATACAGTCAAGGATGGTCTAAACATCGACCAAAACTGACAACTGCAGAGAATTCCAAAAGAAATGAATCAATGCAATGAACAATACCTGCAAAAACAAGGTTTCAGACATATATTACAGCCATTCTCAATCACACGTGCTCTCTAGCGATTGTTTCTGTAGCGAAGAAGTAGATTTTGGCAATCAAAGCGTTTCCATGACATTCTATAGGCACATGCCCTTTTAGCTTTGCGTTTTCCAACAATGTTATGGAAACGCCTTGTGATTGACATACCCAAAACTTAATTCGTCGCGACAGAAAAAATCGCTAGAGGGCGAGTGTGATTGAGAATGGCTGTAAATGTTTTTTCAAAAATATAATTGAAGGTCAATCTAACACAAGATCAAATAGAGGTGATGCAGTCAGGTCAGATACCCAGTCAATCCTCTCTCTACTCTCTTGGCAATATTGTACTTATATTATCTCCAGACATCATGGCATCAACTGGTGGGCTTACACCAGAGCAGATCCAACAGATTCAGGTAAGTCCTCTCTTCCTCTTGCTATGTCTTAAAGTGTATATCAAGGGAAAAAATATTTTCAAAATCACTTATATGTGAACAGGTTGGTTGCAGTATTTTTGTATGTAGACCTCTCCTTTCAGAGATACAAACATTTGAAATATCAATATGTAAATGAGATGAAGTAAATTCAAGAATGGGTTACATTTTGCAGTGTAATTTACAACAATTGTTCTGAAGTGAAATAACCTAAAAGTGTACAAAGCCATATATTTCAGTTATAAGGATGATTTGCAAATGAAAAAACAGCAGTACCTTCCATAACAGCATTTTTGTATAATAAATTAGTCTTGAATTTACGTCATCTCATTTGCATATTGATACTTTAAATGTTCATATCATCTTCAGAAATGCCATATTATTTTACTGTAAATGTAATAAACGTGTTTGCTGTTATCAGTACAGGTTCGTGAAACTAACCCCAAACACTCTTAACCCCAAACACTCTTTTTAATTCGAACGTTGTTTTCTCTGTTAAATTATTTTACTTTATTCGATTTATTCATGCTTGTGAGCACGAACAATAGGCACTAGTTAAAAGGGAATCAGATGCGTGTAGTTTTTACACGTAGTATCGTGTACTCAACGTACTTGCGGCCACTACACGCGTAGGAGTGTACTACACTAAGTCTACTACATGCGGTTTGCACGCGTGGAATGTTAAGATCCCCGCAAGCTGTACTGTATCTCCGAAAAGAAAATTTCACATACGAAAATACTGCAACTATACTACTACGCTATTCACATATAAGTGATTTTGAAAGAAAAAAAATGGGTTGCCGACTTCTATTGAAAACCCTGGATAAGTAGCTTTCTTTATACTCAACATGTACAATCATTGTCAATGAGCCGAAGACTCGTATGAAATACATTTGAGTAGTCATTATTTTGTGCTTTGGTGAGATTTGGCAACAAATCGAAGGTAGAGTTTGAAAGTTGCGGTGGTAATCAGTTGGACAACTAAAAAAAACGTTAAAATGATGTCACAAATAGAATCTCTCTGAAAAATTCAGCCTGCTTTCTGTGGAATGAAAGGAAGGAAACTTTGGGAATTTGAGGAATTTAGCATTAACTAAATTATTGACTATTATTAGCATTTTGCTCCACCAGAGCTTGGAAGAGGTTAAGAACAAATAAGTCAAGCAATGTAATAAACAAAACAAAACAAAACAACAACAAAAAAAAACGAAACCAAAAAATAAATAAATAAATAAAAAATAAAAAAACAATGTTTGTGGCATTTCTTTTGTTATTTCACGTTAGCCTCACATCCAAGATATTTTTATATTATCTATTATTTATTATTATCATTATCATTATCATTATTTATTTTATTTTATTTTATTATTTCTTGAGAAGGGTTCATTGTAGTCATAAAAATGGGTAGGAAATATTTTGAAGAAATGTCCATTTAAAATTTAGGATTATATTTTCAGAGGATTATTTGGCATTCCTAGACCTCGTCCCTAATGTTTTGTGTTTCTGAATCACTATCTAGGAAAGCCAAGCCAATCTTTTTGCAGATAATGCACAGGAGGGTTCTGCTATTAGTATCAATCTTGACAGTACTCAGAAGGAAGGAGAGGGTACTACTGCCGCAGCTAGCGAAGCACCCAAGGCTCCTACCGTTGCTGCCACTCATAAAACAGCAGAAGCTACGAGCACAACTGCCACTGCTGTCACAAAGGAAGCTAAAGAAGACAAACCTGTGGAGAAAAAAGATGAAGGAACTAAAGAAAAGGTAGAGAGGTGTTGAGTACACAAAACAAAGTGTTAACTTGTACTAAAACTAATATATCAACTCTTGTAGTCTGTGTTGCGTGGTGGTCTTGAAGAAGGGTTGGGGAGGGGAACCGCAGACCGCCGAGCAATTCAACACAGGCTTGTATTCTTGTCATGCATTGGTTAACATGCATGCGGACCATTAGATTTTTGAGGGGGGGGGGGGGGTTTGGGCAATTTATTTTGTGCGGGAATTTTTTGTTACGCCTCATGGCTGTGCAGGATTTTTTTGGGCATATTTTGGAATTTTTTTCTGGCGCTTTTAAGCACTATTTTT